GTTGATGTTATTGTTTCAGGTACTAGTGACGACCGCGGGAAGGCGCCGGCTTGATCCGTACACACACATATTCGGAGCTTGATATCATGATCTTGGGATTTTGTATTGTCTTGTTTGGATAATTAAAATGGTTGTTTTATGAATATCAATGGAATTATGTTTTATATAAATTGAAAAATTTGTTTGAAAATTTTCGGTGTTACACAACCTCCTTCAACTACTTGTCGATAACATACTCCTTATCCTCCTAGCGGGTGACCATGAAGATATTTTGGATCCACTCATTGAAATTGGTCCCGTCAAAAATAACCCTCCCACACAAATTCAAATTCATGAGTGAGAAAGAGTCGGCAGGGGTTGAGCCAGAAGCATTGGTTTTGAATCAGACATCTGAAAAGAAAAAAAAATGAGACAAATTTTGATTAGATAAGAATCCCCAATTTAACACCCAAATGGAAATTTAGGGCTAGGACCCAACACAATTATTGACAATTTAGAAAAGGGATGTCGTAATCTAGAATGAAAATAATTTGAAGGGAAGTGAATGACGATTCACTAATTTTGACCATCAAAAACGAAAAGAGTTTAAATGAATTGAAATTCCAAGATTCTTTTGAGATTCATTGAACGTTTCAATGTCATGTTTAAATCTCAATATGCCTTTCAAGTTTGTTACTGGGATACCGAGGATCACAAGTAAGGTGTGAATAACCATGCAAATGTACTTGGTACTTCTCGATGTTACAAATCACCTAATCAATGTGCCGGTTAACCACACACACTCCATTGATCTATGATAAACATCAAGCTACCGTTTTCTACCTTTGCTAGTCCTAAATTAGTATGTCGGTTAACCGCACACGCTCCATTAACGACTTGGCAGGGTGCAAAGTGTAATTTCATGGAATAGCATCATTTTCACATTTTTCCTAAAGTAATTAAAATTGAGAATTTTACAAAAACATTTAGTTACTTTATTAATAATTGAACTTTTAATGAGGAATTAGTTGCCCTATCCTTCCGTTCAGCTAACGACTCTCCACCAAATAAGGAAGCAGTGGGTGAGAGTGGAAACCCATTAAACTAGCATTTTATAGGCCTACTAACAGTAAGACTAGCTTAATGTTATATACATACATACATACATACATACATACATATATATAATATATATATATATATATATATATATATATATATATTAATTTTATAATATTATAATAGTATAAGGGTGTATTTTAAACATTTCAAAATACTAGGGTTTTAATCAAATTTAAAACTTTCGAAAATTAATACATTTTAGTTTTAAAATCTTAAATGTTAAAACTCTTATTTAATAATGATTAAATTAAACAATTAATTTAACCTAATCCCTTTATCTCATAAAATTCAAAAATTTTGGATGGGATAATTCAACGATGTTTAATTATCTATTTGAAGTATTAAAGGGCTAATTACAAAAGATGAGATTATTCCTAATCCCTAAAATCTTGGAATCTTATCTTGGGGAATAAGGCATTTTGAAAACCCTAGGGTTATACAGCCCTACTTTCGAAATTTTAATGCCAAAGAAAAGGGTTTAAGAAACCCTAACAAAATTCCAAACTTGCGTTTTGGAACCCTAATTTCGAAAATTCGAGCCCTAGGGTTTATTATCCATAAGCCCTAATTTCTCAAGTTCATACTTTTGTATCAAATCCAATTGAAAACAAAAACCAAAGGCTTTAATACCACTGTTGGCTTTTATACAAACAATCCGATGTGGACATGCAACCCTAGTTTGGATCTATGTTTTCACTATTAGACATACAACAAATGACCACAAAAGAAAACCTAGCATTCATCTTCTATTTTTGAAAATTCACAATTCAAAGAATAAAATACATACATTTTGTTTCTATATAGTAATAACAACTAAATCTTGAAGTTCCTTTGCTCTTGAGAACACGTACCATAA